AGTTCCTGGAGATAGCCACGAAATTAGCAAAGACCACAGTCTACTCCCTCCACGAAACATCAACGAGAAATCACGTTTTGAAAATAGGACAACAGCTGGGGGCAAAGGGTACTGTTGTCGCTGAACTTCGTTATGATCTACCTCGAGTGTACAAATTCCACGAGAAAGCGTCTGTCGACATTCAGGTGGACTTCATCAGGTTCTCCCTCGATAATTAAACTCAGGATTGTTAATAGCACTTTAGACTTGATGATTTATTTTCATGATTTTTAAAATAATTTTTAAGATGATAGTCAGTCTGTGAAACACGAGGGGAAGAATGTGATGATGGTGATGACGATCATCATCGATATCTTGGTGATGAGGGGAAAATTTTCATTCATTAATTTATTATCATTCGAATTTAATGACCTGTGCCAATGGCTATTCATTTCCATAATTGATAGTGACTGTTGATCGTCTCATGTACTGTTTCCAAGCATCACTTCCACTCTCTCGAGCTCCACCTGTTGCCTTCCCACCACCAGATGCACCTCAAGCTGCTGAATGTCAGGAAATATTTCTCATAAATACCTGGCCTGAACCGCCCCATCTGCCGTCGAATAATCCTGGATTCTCCTGCGTCAACCCCAGTTGCTTCAAGAATCCGTACCTCGAGTCGGTGACTAAATTCCTCTGGATTTCGTGGGAAATTCTGGGGAATGAACTGAGCAATTGCCGTGACATCGTGGGGCTCGACAATAAATTCTGTTCCTCTCTCAGCGGAGAACCCGAAAATACTTGGGTTATCGAGTTGACTCTTTATCTCCCTGGGGAGCCCTTATCACTCTCCTCCCACCGTTTCATCTCAGAAAACAAACAGCAACTACTGATTGTTTTAAAAACCTTTTATTATTAAAAGTGCGAATTCATTATTAACAATTCATTATACATAATTTACTCGGCAGTGAGTGACGAATGATTCATTTCCTCAGTTAATTACATGATTTTAAAACAGTCGAATTTTTCTGACGAATCAGAAATTGCTGATTTCATTTTATCTAGTGATGATTGTTATTTACACGGCTCTGCACATCTGATAACAACGGAGGTCCGAGACGATACGAAGCACTGATCTCGTCAGAGTTGGTTGATCCTAAAAACGATATTTTCATTCAACACTTTATGAATCCGACGAGTTTATCCATGATAAACTGTATTTGAAGTTACGTTTTTTGCGGATATCTTCGAATCCGATGGAGTTAGCGAAATTTTCATAAGCACCTTTTTTGTAGCTCTCGAAATTTTCTACAAAAAAGGTCCTGAGGAAAATTTTGCTACTTCAGATAGATTCCGAGATATTCACAAAAAAATGCGAACGAATTATTTTCTTTTTCGCATGAAGGCCCGAAAAGTCTTAAATTAGGGCCCACATGTCTTAAATCAGGGTCCAGAAGTGCCTCCAATTGAGACGACCCCAAAATTCCGGGAATTAAGACTCAATAATATCCTAAATTGAGGCCCGAAATTTTTTTGAATTAGGGCCCAACAATGTCTTAAAATGAGGCCCAGCTGTCTTATGATTCGATAAACGCACAACAGCTGTATCACTTAAAAGCCAGCGATACAGCACAATAGGACCCAAAATCGAGACCCAAAATTATTTCAGTGAGGCCCAAAAAAGTCTTAAATGGGTCCCAAATATTCTTAATTAAGACCCGCAAGTCTTCAATAAAGGTCTAAACGAGTCGATCATTAAGAAGGAAGAGGGTCCCAAAATCATCTTAAATGGGCCCAAAAGTCTTAAATAGGTCCCAAAAAGCGTTTTGACCCAACAGACCCAAAAAAAAACTCACAGTCGATTTATCGAAGTTCTCCAGCAGCGTCGCCCTCTGTACGTCATCGAGGCCCTCGCACCCCCCCAAAAACGTCGGTAGAAAGTGACTGAAGAACCAATTGATGTCCACCCCAGCTAAATTATGAACGGCCACTGCGATGTCGTCCGCAAGAAGATTATGGGACCTGTGAATTAGAACAGTGAACAGCGCCATGAGGAATCTCTCGAGGAGATGTCTCTTGAACACCTCCTTCTGGTAGAGTCTCCACCTCGAGTTGAGGGCCTCAAGGCTCTGCAGACTCTGCCTGAAGATGTTGACGTCAGGCTGAAGGAGGGCCTGCCCGAAGGCCTCGAGAATGGCAACTAGCTCCTCCTTGTGCTCCACAAGCTCCTCCAGGGGGCCTCCGAAGCTCCTCAGCACTCCTGACCCGTAGAAATACTGCCACCTGTGCATCAAAATACTGTGGAACAGTCGGAGGAGCACGAGGGTCGTGTCTGGATGAGCACTGAGGTCACCGCCAACAGCTGGCCACACCTGTTGATCAAAAAAATAATGGGCCCCTCGTAAGAGCTCACCACGACCTCCACCAAAATCACCAGCACCTCATCACTCACCTGCCTGAGACAGAGTCCTGTGATAGCTGGAACAAAAGCCTTGAACCCAGCGCTGGGTGCAGAAACGACGAGAATCATAATCTCCAGGAGTTGATCAAGAGCAGCTCCAGAATTGATGTTTTCAGCGCTGTAGATCTGCAGCATTCCCTGAACAGCTCTCTGAATGAACTCAGCCCCCAACTGCTGCTGGAGAACGTGAAAGACAGCGTGCAAAAAATTCATGAGACCTTCGCAAGCTTGCGACCTGACTAGATGAGGAAGTAGCTCCAGAACTCTGGTGATGGTCTCCTGCATGGACTCGTGGAGCATTTTCTTGATGCTGGTTGACGACGAGCAGCAGTCCTCGACGAGTTGTTTGAGGGGAGTCGTGGAGGTGTTGACACTCATCTCCGGGGGAATCTGGTGGCCCAGACCCCCCAGGGACGACGATAATGCCGATATCATGGAGGACAGGAGGCGCTGCCTGACAGCTGCATCCCCTGGCACTAGGACTATTCCATTCACAAGCGCTCGTCGCAGGACTTTGATGGTATCTGGCCTCATCGAGGGGTAGTTCTGCGTTGTTATGAGGTCCCTGAAGCCCTGGTGCTCCCAGAGATTGGGTCGTAAAATGGCGGTGACACTCTGGAGGAGATGAGCAGCGGAATGCACGAGATTGACGGGAATTGGTGGCTCTGAGGTCCTCGGAGGGGACAACGCCCAGATGCTGGCTTGGATGGACCTCTGGGTGAAATTCTCCCTGAACTTGTCCGGCTGCTTCGCCATCCAGTGGCACCAGGCTTGCAACGACGCCAGGAACTGGGAGTGGACCTCGATGAGGTCCAGGACAATCGCCGGGGGCTGCAGGGGCGGGTGGAACAGGTGATTGGTTTGGGCAAATGTGCAGGCGTCGAGGGTCTGGTTCACCAGGTCCTCCACTGGGGAGTTCGAGGTGCTGTCCTGGGGGTCGGCGAAGAGGGAGTAGAGGCGAGCGAGGGCTTGAGTTGTCGACGCCAAGTCGCGGAGGTGAGAGTGAACTGTCGTGGCGTCCGACTCGGAGAGAATTGTCACTTGACCTCGAGACAGGGCAGAACCCAGCTCTCCGTAGATGGCTAGGTCCGCTCTCCAGGACCTGGGGGTCGAATTCCAGAATTGGGATTTTTTTTGAGTCGCAGAGTGAAGGGGGGGGGGCGACCCCCGGAGGGGCAGCCCTTTATGTAATCCTTCTGACAAGGGTTTGAAGTAAGGCCCAATGCTTTTCGAATTAAGACGCAAGAGGGTCTTAAAAATTCACGGGAGTTTCGGCAATTGAAGCCCAGTTCATTCAATAGATCTTTACAGGAGCTCTAATCCTTTGGAGCCGGAAGAGATTGTGAGGTTTTTTTAATTGGGCCCAATTGTCTTAAATCAGGGCCCACGGGTGGTTTGAATTAACGGTCAAATATCTCGTTTATTAAGACACGTGAGACTCTTAAATTAAGGCCTACATGCACCAATGATTAGGACTAACAAGAGACGGGCCCAAAATTGTCTTAAACTCGGACCCAAAATTGCCTTAAATCAGGGCCCAAAAGTGTCTTAAATTAGGGCCCAGATTCATCTTTATCCCATGAATTCACAAAAATTCTAGAAACTAAGCGCCGCTGATTTTTTATAAAATGAGGCCCAACGTCTTAAATCAGGGCCCAAAGGTGTCTTAAATTAAGGCCCAGATGCATCTTTAATCTATATATCCGCAAAAGTTCTAGAATAGATTTTTACAAAATGAGGCCCACCGTCTTAAATCAGGGCCCGCAGGTGTCTTAAATTAAGGCCCAGATGCGTCTTTAATCTATATATCCGCAAAAGTCCCAGAATAGATTTTTATAAAATGAGGCCCAAAGTCTTAAATTAAGGCCCAAATTTGCCCACGAGGCCCAAAACAGAAATAGATTTGTTTATAAAATGAGGCCCAGTCTTAAATTAAGGCCCAAATTTCCCATGAGGCCCAAAATAGTACTGACCCAAAAACGTCTTAAATTATGTCCTAAATGCGTTTCAATTCAACAGATTGAAAAACGACCCCCGACCCTTATCAGACTCTCGGCAATGAAATAATTCTTCCTCACCTGTACAGCAGATTAAAAACCGGCAAGGGTGAAATATCCGCGACCCTCGCCAAACACTCGATGTTGCACCTGAGGAAGTGTTGCCACTCGGTCTCCTCATTGTCGTCGAGTGTCTCGGTGTCCAGATCCTTGAGATTCCTCCCCTCCACCTTGAAGGACATTCGATTGAGGACCCTCTCGGCAAAAGCCAGGGCCACCGTGGAGTACCTGGACTGCGTGGACTCCAGCAGAATGCTCCAGACTTCGAGACACCGGAGGTATCCGGCGATCGAAGTGTTCTGTTGAAACGTGTGATGGTAGAGGACCTCCAGGAACGTCGGCACCGGGAATTTCGCACAGGACTCCACCCTCTTGAGGTGATTTGTCACGAAGAGCTGGAGGAACTCAGTCGTCTTCTCCAGGTAGCTGAAAGCCATTTGTTCATTCGTTTCAGATCATTTCCGTTCATTCTTTCAACGCACTCCTCGTGTTTGGGCCTTACCTCTCGTCTACGCTGTCCAATCGCTCCATAATCTGGAACAGCGTGACTCCATTATCGAAAATCTGGAGGAGGAGTGTCTCGGTGGTGCTTGGTGAGCACGGACGATAGAGAAGTTCATTGATGGTCGTCATGGCTTGCACCACCATCTCCACCTGCCTTCCGTTCATGGAGTCGCAGTATCTGGCACACGAGAATATGGCATCTAGTAGGTTCGAGGATATGTGGTCAGTGGGGATGATCCAGCTGAATAGGTGGGCGAGCACTTCCAGGGTGGCGATGCATATGTCATTGCTGCCTATTGCTAGGCCATCGACATCGAGGACTGAACGCGCTGGGGGAACGCTCTGGCCACCGGTAGGGGAGGGAGGGGGTGTCACTGTGCCAGAACGAGCATGAGACTTCATGGTTTCAGTCAGAAGGGCTGGAACATGTTGAAAATTCAACTTTTGGAGGTTTTATGAACTTAAGATTTGACCTGAATTTAGGACGCGACCGGAATGTGAGAGTCAGCAGCACTAGATGTTTGTGAATGGGTGAACATTACTTGAATTGAAAGCCGGACCTGAATGTAAGACCCGACCTGAATTTAAGACAGCACCTGAATTTAAGCCGTGACCCAAATTCAAGTATAAGGAGCACTCAATACTTTTAATACATTTCACATGAGGGTAATGACTTCGATTTAGGGAGAGGTTTAATTTAAGGCCTGACCTGAATTTAAGACTGGACCTGAATTTAAGACTCGACTTGAATTTACGTGTAAATAGCACCAGATATTTTTTAATAGACTTTTCATCATGACAATGGATTTAACTAAGATGACGACCTGAATTTAAGACCGAACCTGAATTTAAAACGTGACTTGAATTTACGTGTAAATAGCACGAGATATTTTTTAATAGACTTTTCATCATGACAATGGATTTAACTAAGATGACGACCTGAATTTAAGACCGAACCTGAATTTAAGACCGCACCTGAATTTAAAACGTGAATTGAATTTACATGTAAATAGCACGAGAAATTTTTAAATAGGCTTTTCATCATGACAATGGATTTAATTAAGACGACGACCTGAATTTAAGATCGAACCTGAATTTAAGACCCGACTTGAATTTCCGTAATTTTAAATAGTACGAGATGTTTTTAAATAACTTCTCATCATGTGAATACTTCTCCTTCAGCTTGAGGCCTGAATTTAAGTGGTGACCTGAATTTAAGACGTGACTCGTGTTTTCTTGAAAAAAACGAGATATTATAATGACGAATAAATCACCAGAACTGATGTTATCCATATCGTCCTCACCCCTCACTCACCTGTGAGTGTATCTAGGGTGGTGGCCACCTGAGCACTCAGCAGCCTGATCAATTCAGTCTTCCTTTGAATGGGCAGGTCCTCCCTGGGTGTCGCAAGCTCCTCAGAGGCAGTTCTCAGATAAATCAGTCCCAACAGTCTCGTCTGCTTGTGCCCCAGCAGCTGGAGAATATTCGAGTAAAAATCCGGGTAGAAGTGCGGCCAGTCGTGCTTGGCGATGTCCACCACTAGCTTCACGATTTTATTTCTGACGTAAGGCGCCACCCCGTGCTCCAGTGATAGCGTGTAGAGGGTTGACCTGATCAGGGCTCGATCCTCCCATGGTAAAATTGGCCATCGTCTACCGATTGTCGTCTCCAAGGTTGTCAGTGCAAACATACTGACAAAGTGATTGCTCGTGGAGGACAGGAAGTGCAGGCAGGGCCTCCACGAGTTTATCTGGGACGTGAACTCGTGGAGGCTCTGCTCGATCGTTCGGATTCGTTCGTTTGTCGTATTAGACGAGAAAAATTCAGTCATCAGGTGCTCAAGTCTCTGCAGGGCAGCTGCATCGTCCTGGAGCGTTCGAATTATTTATTTTATTTTTTATCCATTGCAGGAACAGTCAAACAGCCGAGGACAATTACATGACTATAGGTAGATGAATAAACTTATTTAAAGTTTATCCTATGATTGGTCAAAATACGATGTATGAGGAACATGATGTAGTATTACAATACGTTGCATGTGGCGAAGCAAGTGGAAAAGTATATACAGTGGTGAAAAATTAGAAGTAATGGATAACAGTTTCATTCGTGTTAATTAATGATTTTTTTATTCTTTGCGGTTTGTTTGAGATAATTGGAATGATACTTTGTGGGAAATTATTCTGGAATATTTTCGGGGGTTGAGGAGCCAGGTCCTGGGGGCTATCCTAGGAATTATTTGCGAGGATTTTTGGGGGGTGGCTGCAGGTGGGGGAAGGAAGAAAAAAAAAGCAACTCAGTTTTGGGGAATTCTTCGTCTCTTAAGCATGTTCGACACCCTTTCAGCCAAAATTGACGTTGTTTTCATTTTTCTGGCAAATTATCGATGGGAGTGACGTGAAAAAATATAACGATTTTGTGGTTTGTCATTCTTTAATGGCTCACGAAGTTGCGTAGTGGTGCGATAATTTTCATGCGTTTTTTCTACAGTTTTGTGATTCTTTTTAAAAGTTTAGAGAAAACGCAGGAAAATGTTCGCACCACCTTAAAATTTCGTCAGTCATTAAATAATGACAAAACGCAAAAACGTTATATTTTTTCACGTCAATTCCATCATAAGTTTGCCAGAAAAATTAAAAAAACGTGAATTTTGGCAGAAAGGGTGTAGAACATCCTTAAAATCTCAGTCAGGGGTTCTGACACTGCCCCTAAATACTGCTGGAGAATTACAATTAGAAGAGGTTCAACAATTATTCGCTCAACCCCAAAATTTCAGTGGTTATTTCTCGACAATTAATTTAGAACGAGAAATTTCGGGATTTGTTGTTAAATTTCTTGAACTGCTGGGTTCAGTTTCTCCTTCAGTTTTCAGGGCAGGTTATAATCACTTGAAAATACAGAAAGCAGATCTCAAATTCTGTCGGTCTGTCAACTGAATGAATTTCACGATTTTTCTCAGTATTTTCTTGGGGATTAAATGCAGATGTCTAGCGTAAAGAATTTAACTCTGAAATAAGCTCCAGATTTTTCCTGAGAAATTGGTGACAGAGAAAATGTCTGAATCAGGGCGATCATCGAGACTAGTCTAAACCTACCATTTTAGCTGAGGATCACAGCTACTGGATGTATTTATAATAAATGCACGATTAAAATCATTAATACTATTTAAAATCACCCTTAAGGTAGTCAAAATACTGTGGCAAGTCGAGGAAGGTTACATCTGGGGTCTTGGCAGATGTCAAAATTCGAGATTTCTGTTTTACCGAGTGAGATCGGCTCCTTAATTTGGGGTTAGAAACCCGTCGCAAGACTCGATGGGTAAGAGGAGTCCTTGATGGTTGAGGTCCAGACGGTCTAGACCATGTTATTAATTAATAATAATTAATTCATGAAAAATATAGACTGGGGAAGATGGAGAAGGTACTGAGAGAGGAAGGCAGGTGGAAGGAGGTAGTTAAATAAGTTGGGGAGAAAGAAGGAGTCGAGAACAGGCGAGTGGTCAAGGAGGGGGAAATGATTTTAAAATCCAAAAACTATGCAAATGTGATACAAGAGACTTGCGTGATATTAAACTAATAAAAAATGAATCAATATATGAAGTAGACTATAAGTGAGTAGGTAAACAAGGAAATAACATGAGATTAGAGATGAAAATAAAGAGTATGGGAGAATTGTGTGGATGTGAAACAAAGAAAACTTTTGTAACATCAAGGAAATAAATTGAATTGAATAATTCATAAAAAATCAAATAATTTTCCCCAAATCTTGAGACTATTTTTCTAAATATCAGCAAACGAATAAGTGTAATTGGAATGCATAATTAATTTATTACATTTTATTACACAGACTAGGGAATTTTGGGTTTCTCAGCTGTCATACTAACTGGAAATTTTCCGTTGGGACGACCCTACCAGCCCGTCATGGCACTTGCCCTGGGATATAGCCAACCAAGAAATTGGAAATTGAAATTGAAGGTCCAGACCATGTGGCTTTGGTCACTTTGGTGTAAATAAAATTCATTGAGATCGAGGTATTTTCGTGATTTTCGGGGAATATGGGGCGAAAAGCGAAGTTTGAGGGAGGTGTGGTGTCCAGTGGTCCTGGGAGAAAATCGAAAAAACAGAAGGATCCGGTTTTCCCGAAGGAATTGATTGGTGAGTGAATTTTAATACTACTGAGGAGGTTAGACACCTCACCTGCATGACGAGGGAGCACATATTTGAGACTTTATTTTGTAGAAAAAGAGGAGAAGAAACTGAGTCACAAGCAGAAGCAGAGGGCACGCAAGAGGCAGGCGAAGAAGGTTGAGAAGGAGCTGAAGAAGAATGAACCCAGGGCGAAAAAACCGAGGAAGGTGGAGGAAGCTGTTGAGGACGAGCCTGAGGAGGTGAGAATCAATTTAAAAATCGTCTCCGTGGATTTTGTAATGAATTAAATATGAAGATTTTTTTTTCATTTTGCGGTTTTTCAGGCGTTCAAATTAAATTTAAGTCACACAAATTGGATCATTCGATCGGGAGATATTCAATTTATTTATTTATTTAGGAAGGGTTGAGGGTAGTAGGAGGGTACGTCATTTTTTGCGATTTTCACACAAAAAAAAATTTTTAGACATGAAATATCTATAAACACTAAACAACGCCTATTGGAGAATGTTCCTGAGGACTTTCTCAATCCCCTAAAAAATCACCAATCCCCTGGGACACGTACTTGAGGGTAGTAGAAGGGTAAAAACGTCATTTTGTTCGATTTTCACACAAAAAAAAAAGTTTTACTCCTACTACCCTCAACCTTTGATCCCTTCCTTAGTTTCTCTAATCACATTGATTACTTCGATTAAAGATTAAATATTCTGTTTCTAGTCGAGTGACGATGACGAAGATTCTGGAGTGGCCGAGGAAATCACAAAGCCAGGGGCTTTTGTCCTGAGGAAACCCAGGGGATCAGACTCCGAATCATCATCATCACAAGAAGAAGAAAAAGAAGAAGAAAATACTGATGATGATGAGGATGAGGATGATCTGCTCCCAATCGAGCGTCAAAACAAGAAGCTGAAGCGTCAAAAGAAGCTCGACGCAGCCCTGGACGCAGCAGAGACCACGGAGATGGCCTCCCACTGCGTCTTCGAGTTTCCCACCGAATCCGAGCTGAAGGAGATCACGAGTATCAAGGACATTCAGGCTCGGATAAAGGACGTGATCATGGTGCTGAACGACTTCAAACGCTTCCGAGACCCCAACAGGTCCCGATCGGAGTACCTGGCCCTCCTGAAGTCCGACCTCTGCGCCTACTACAGCTACAACACCTTCTTGATGGAGAAACTCATGCAAATTTTCCCCCTCTCCGAGCTCGTGGAGTTCCTCGAGGCCTCGGAGGTGCAGCGCCCCATGACCCTGAGGACAAACACCCTCAGAACGCGCAGGAGGGACCTCGCGCAGGCCCTGATCAACCGTGGGGTCAACCTGGACCCCATTGGAAAGTGGACCAAAGTTGGACTCGTTGTTTACTCGTCACAGGTGCCCATGGGGGCCACTCCAGAATATCTCGCTGGTAGGAATAGATAAATTTATAATATTATAGGAGCGATTGGTTTGTTTTTAGAAAAAGACTTCAGTCAAGGCCTTGAAAGCCCCATGTGACCCCCATATGGCCCTCATGACCCTCATTCTCACCCTTATCCTGACCCTAATTTTATCTCCCGGCCGGGGACTTACGGCGCGTCAACTCCGTTATTCAATGAACGATAACTTGAAAACAGTCGAACGAAAAAAATTGAAATAAAATGCATTGGCTGTATTGAACTTTGAAATAAACTCCTAGAGAATTTCCTAACATGTCGTCCAACATGCTAAATTTATTTATAACAGACAAATTATCCAACAAATCGAAATTTAACTTCTGCCATTCGACAGGAGAATCATTGAATTATTTTCAGTAAAAATTACAAAATTTTTGGGGGCAATTTCGTCGATAAACGAGATGATTTAATATGATTGAATCGGTTGGATGTCAAATTTTCATCTACAACTTTTGTTCGTAGAAAAAAATATTATAAATGCATTGAAAAAAAATAAAATAAAATAGTTCACTGCAGAGACAATTCCATTGACTTTCCAAATATCTTTTCCAAATGTCAATGTGTCTCCTAGAATTCGAGAAAATGATTTTTTATGATGGGACAAGTTTATGGGTCGATGCATGGTATTGTTTCCATTTAAATGACGCAGAGAAGACTTTAGCAAAAAATGTTACTCCAAACCCCAGGTCACTACATCCTGCAGGGCGCCTCGAGTTTCCTGCCAGTGATGGCCCTGGACCCGAAGGAGAGCGAGAGGGTTCTGGACATGTGTGCAGCGCCCGGGGGCAAGTCCTCGCACATCGCAGCCCTAATGAAGAACACCGGGGTCTTATTCTCAAACGACGTCAATCAGGACCGAGTGAAGGCTGTCATTGGGAATTTCCACCGGCTGGGGATCGTCAACTCCGTCATCTGCAGTCACGACGGCCGCAAGATACCAGGGATCATCAAGGGTTTCGACAGGGTTCTCCTGGACGCCCCCTGCACCGGCACTGGAGTCGTGGCCAAGGATCCCAGCGTCAAGACTAATAAGGATGAGGTGGACGTCCAGAGGTGCTGCACCCTCCAGAGGGAATTGCTGCTGGCTGCCATCGACTCTGTCAACGCCAAGTCAGGGTCTGGGGGTGTAATCGTGTACTCCACCTGCTCCATCCTCCCCGAGGAGAACGAGTGGATCGTAGACTACGCCCTGAAGAAGAGGGACGTCAAGGTCGTGCCGACAGGTCTGGAATTTGGGGAGGAGGGCTTCACGAATTACAGACAGCACAGGTTTCATCCCTCCTTGAAGCTCACGAGGAGATTCTACCCTCACGTGCACAATATGGACGGATTTTTCGTCGCCAAGCTGAAGAAGTTTTCGAATATTATTCCCAAGAGGAACGCGAGGGAGGAGGAGGAAGAGGCGCAGGAGGGAAACACTGAGTGAATTATTGATTCAGTGGATTTATTACATTTTTTACATCATCGTGCTGTACATAAGGATTACTTCTGGGGGATTCAGTGGAAGAAGATGCTCTTCAGCTGCTTCTCGCAGAGACGCTTCACCTCGTCTGGAATTGATTTTAATTTTCGAGAGGAGAATGATTCATTTGTTTTGTAATAAAATATTGTGATGGAGATTTTTTGATATTTTTTTAGCACTCACCATCGATTTCGATTATGTTCGCGTTCTTCTGCTGAATGACGACGAAGAACTCTCGTAGGTTGGACAGCTTGCCCACGACCCAGTAGTCACTCATGGTCTTGATGACGACCTCTCCAGCCTCCTTGAGCTTGTTAGTGTCGCTGTGAATGTCGGTGATTATCCTGAGGACCTCGGGGGTGGTGAGGACGTTGGAGACGCGTCTGTTGTCGAGATGAATGGTGCTCTTGTACGCTAAATTCAGTCTGTTGAAGTATAAGTATTTGGGGGTGGACTCCCCCAGGTCGGGAACGTGCTTGGAGCACTGATCGGCCACTGAGCTGACCAGAGTCGTCAGCTGGGGGCCCAGGAAGGCGTCGAGACTCTTCAGGTAGTCGATGAGGAGACCTGTGGAGCCTCCGGGGAAAAGCAAATGACTCAAGATTGCATCTCTATTGATCACAGGACAACTGATCACGGGACAATTGATCACGAGAAAAATAATCAGAATAATTAGATCATCAAGAAAATACATCACACAATATTAAATTATCAGTAATTCAGTGTATTTAGTGTATATTTAATTACGATGAAAAAAAAACATGAAAAACTTGAACGGATCTGGTTTTAGAGTATTTAATAATTCATTAGAATCCATTGAGTTGTGTTGGATAATGGCTCTTTCTAACGGAGAAACATTGTGAGAAACCGCATCCTTGATGAAATGAGACGGCCAGCATTAAATTTCTCCCAAATCACTTCAGACGACGCCTGCTCGACTTTCAAAGCATTGATAAATCTGCCCAACTGCTCATGATTTCTACCAACACGTCGATGAAAAGCATTATGCCAAACTTCCATCATATTATTGGTCCTGGGCTCATCATTGAGGGTGCTATTGTCCCGTGATCAAAACAGCTTTTGATAGAAGGATTTCTGGTGACTTGTCCATGTGATCAAATTTGTGATCATTTGTCCCGTAATCAACTGTACCCGTGATAAGTAGGGGTGATACCGACTCAGAATATTCATTTATTCGGGGGAAAACCAATGGAGAATCACTCACTGTCGATGAATAAACAGATTGTTGCACTCAAGGCACTGTAGACCACTAGGTACAGGGACGTGGGAGTCGTTGAGTAGTTTATGAAGACTATTGGAGACTTGGCTATTCCGATCGACTCGTTCATGCTCGAGGCGCCCGTTACAAATCTGATTTTAGATTGAAAAACAATTTTTTAAATGTTTTTTTATCCCTGGAATTTTTTTTAGGGTCTCAAAAATGAGGAGGGGTCAAGTGTCATTCGAAAAGACGAAATTTGTGAGGATGATTCACCAGGAAAAATTCCAAACTACTTTTTAATCTTTCTCGATCGCTCATTGCTGGGTGTCACTCATAAAAATAATAATGATAGGAGTTATCTCCGTAAAAGTGATTTCCATACTTTCCGTAATGAGAACTTGTGAATGGAGATGCTGAATTTCTCGGCATGGAGCCTCCATGCAGTTCTTTCTCCATGTGGGCTGGTAATAACGTGCTAACGAGGTAATTGTAGACCACCTGCATGTCTTCAGGTTCCAATCCACTCCTGAAACCCCACGGAAAGCGTGAAACACAGTATTAAGGTGAGAGGTTCGTGGGTTTTAATTTAATTACCAGACGAGTTGATCGTTGTACAGGAATGCTGTGTATTTGACGTGTGGGAATGTGGCTTCTATGAGGTTCATGAAACACTGGACCCTCAGGAAGGTGCCCTTGTCCAGGGGGAGGAACTGGAGGCCCTGGAATATGTCCAGGATGTCTCGATGGTTGAGTTTGAGGGTCAACAGGTGCTCGGAGAAGAAGTAATCCAGCTTGTGCTTGAGGAGGGTCACCGAGCCACAGCCTGGATCCTTCAGAATTGTCTCGAACGACCCCATGAATAATCGGAATCTCATGTAGGCTTGCTTCATTATCGCCAGGCACACCGGACTCGATACCTCGTCGTGCTGGTACTCTGTGTACTCGTTGCCATCTTTTGTTTTTAGTAAGTAGGGAACACCGACGATCTGGAATTCATTCCAGGGATGAAGAGATTAATTAACGCGATTTAGACGTTTTTTTTAAATTGAGATTTAGACGGTGTTGAGGGTCTAGATGAGAGCACTTGACCCTCGAGTAAAAAATTTTAAGAAAACTTTTTCTTTATGTCTATTTGGGGGTCAAACGGTCCTTAAGATCAATTCCGATCCTTATGATCCCTCAATTAAAAACAAAAAACTTTCTGAATTGTAATAAATAGTCGTTTCTCCTGGTGTTATAGTAATTAAGCGTGTCACGTTACACCACTGGAGAATCGTCTCATCAGTGTAGCTGATTAAAAGAATGTGTGAAGTAAGTTGAACTCAATTCATCGTCCAATTTCTCTGATCGAGAAATCATTAGTCAATAATATTCAATTAATTGATTATGATTATTCAGCCTGTGCCTGGCAACTCAAACAATTACCATCACTATCCAGAAGTCTGGCTCTGGCTGATAGTAAATCTGCCTGGTTTTGTGAGTGTGGCAATAATCACACGTCTGGCCTGGGTTGAAAGACCTGAAAAAATGCGTAATCAGTTGAATCGAAGTGATGATCCTCCATTGTTTCTTAAACAATGAAAAAATCGCGGAAAATTACTCAGTGAACTTGATAATGGCCTCGCTGAGCCCAATGTTCCTGATCTTGGTGTCCACGTCGGTTTTTTCGGGGTAATAATACAGGATTTTTTTCTCCTCCTAGAGAGAACGAAAAAAAACATCGAGTAACAATCATTGCGGATTAATTCAACTGTTTTATGGACTTTGGGGTCGAGTCATTCGGTTTACCTCTCCTTCCTTCTTGGCGTAGGTACCATTGAATATGTAAAAATGGTCCAACGTTATTTCAGGCTTGGATGTCATGTTCGATTTTATTATTTAACTCGTGTCATCACTTTGAAAATTTAATTTCATTTTGACAGCTAACCCCGAGTGCTCCAACTGATTTCTCGGGGTAACTTTTGTGGGTAAAGTCTTCTCACAGAGCATGTAGTTCCGGATAGCTCGCATGATGGCGCTTCTAGCTAGATTGTCGGTAAAAAAGCTCATAGTCACTCATTAAAAATTATTCATTAATTTTTATTTGTTCATTCATTTTATTGAAACTCTCATCGCAAAATCAAGGATCGCAATATTCATTCTCAATTGAGTTTAATAAAACTTTTCTGTTGAAACCAGTGATTTTTAAAAGTCAATATTAATTGATATAAATGATTAACTTCAAATTAAATTAAATTAATTGAAAATAATTGAGTGATGACAATGAGGGATAAATTGACTGATATATTGCTATAATCCCTCGATTTGAATTAGGGAAAAATAAATATAAAAAAAATATTCATGAGATGAAGAATGGACGTCAATTATTTAATCATTTTTTATTAAAAAAATTATGTACATATGCCATGCTCCTCGTAATCATAATAAGCGCAACTGTAATATGATTTTTAGAAATTGTTTGAGTGCTCTGCATGAAGCAAAATCAAGGTATTAATATTAAATGATTATGTCTATCACTCGTGATATAACAATAGCTGTAAAAATTGAATTCCTTCATTTCCATTATCACTACTCTGTCCCATTATTTTGAATAACTAAATACGAGGCTGACAGTTATTAATTGCCCATTGAAAAATTGTTTTAAAACAGTTACTAATCATCCGACCTCGTCCTCCCTCAATTTACAATAATTTAAACAGAAGGAAATTATTTAAACATCACAAAGAAAAATAAACATTCTCTCATAATTATTCGATTGAGAGAGGGATGTGAGACACGAATACTCGACGTCAATTGGTTGATTAATTAATTAGTCAGTTGACTAATTGATTAATCAATCGTTTGAATGATTGATTATGCATGTAACAATAATGGTAACAACCTTAACCATGATATTGTCGTATTGCAATCTGAATGTTTATATTAAAAATAAATAAATGACATGTTCAAACTATTGATTAAATAATTACGATGATTTTCTTTTTCCTAGGCGATTTATAGTTAACATGATTGCTATTAATCTATCAATCTCTTGATGTATTTAAAGGGAATCCCCATGTCGAAGAGCTCGTCCTTGCTCTTTGTTCTGAGCTCGTAGTAGTGGTTCACTGCCTCCCAGCTTATTTCGGAGAGACTGGGGATTATCAGCCAGGCTGAGTGAACGTCATTCGTTCTTTTCGTCTGTTAAGAATGATAATAATTAATTAGGGGCAAATTATTATTTTGTGAAATTCAAGAAACATTTTTTAGGTGAGGGTCAAATGAGGGTTATTTGACCTTCAAGACCATTTGTCCCTCAACTCTGAATGTCCTCAAGGCTCGTTTGACCCGCGAGACCATTTGACCCTCAACCAAAAACAAAAGAAAAGTTTAATTAAAAATAATTTTGATTTTAGGGTCAAAGGAGGGTCATTTGACCTTTAAGACCATTTGTCCCTCAACTCTGAATGTCCTCAAGGCTCGTTTGACCCGCGAGACCATTTGACCCTCAACCAAAAACAAAAGAAAAGTTTAATTAAAAATAATTTTGATTTTAGGGTCAAAGGAGGCTCATTTGTCCTTTACGACCATTTGTCCCTCAACTCTGAATGTCCTCAAGGCTCGTTTGACCGCGAGACCATTTGACCCTCGATCCCATTTGACCCTCAACCAAAAACAAAAGAAAAGTTTAATTAAAAATAATTTTGATTTTAGGGTCAAAGGAGGGTCATTTGACCTTTAAGACCATTTGTCCCTCAACTCTGAATGTCCTCAAGGCTCGTTTGACCCTCGATCCCATTTGACCCTCAACCAAAAACAAAAGAAAAGTTTAATTAAAAATAATTTTGATTTTAGGGTCAAAGGAGGGTCATTTGACCTTTAAGACCATTTGACCCTCAACTCCAAGTCCTCAAGGCTCGTTTGACCCGCGAGACCATTTGACCCTCGATCCCATTTGACCCTCAACCAAAAACAAAAGAAAAGTTTAATTAAAAATAATTTTGATTTTAGGGTCAAAGGAGGGTCATTTGACCTTTAAGACCATTTGACCCTCAACTCCAAGTCCTCAAGGCTCGTTTGACCCGCGAGACCATTTGACCCTCGATCCCATTTGACCCTCAACCAAAAACAAAAGAAAAGTTTAATTAAAAATAATTTTGATTTTAGGGTCAAAGGAGGGTCATTTGACCTTTAAGACCATTTGACCCTCAACTCCAAGTCCTCAAGGCTCGTTTGACCCGCGAGACCATTTGACCCTCGATCCCATTTGACCCTCAACCAAAAACAAAAGAAAAGTTTAATTAAAAATAATTTTGATTTTAGGGTCAAAGGAGGGTCATTTGACCTTTAAGACCATTTGACCCTCAACTCCAAGTCCTCAAGGCTCGTTTGACCCGCGAGACCATTTGACCCTCAACCAAAAACAAAAGAAGTTTCCTGACATTTTTTTTTATTTCTACCAATTCCCAAAATAATTAATTAACCCACCATTTCATTTTGCGTTTCAACAATTCCCCCAAACGTGTACATCTTCCCCGCTGGAGTCACAGCGACAGAGTGGAAGTAAAGTGGTTTAGGTAACGAGCAGTTAACGATCTTTGTCCACTGGAGGCTCTTCAGATTGAGCCTCCAGACGTCCCTGTAGTCACGGTTCCCGCAAAAGCCCCCTGATATGATAACGTTAACGCTCTCAGACTCTGCATCGAGGTACTGTACAGCCCCGTGACACCTTCTGGGTCCTGGGTACCTCGACTGAGAGCCATCGCCATGGGTGTGGAGGATACTCCACCTGTTTGTCTCCACATCGAAAGCTGGAATTTCCTGGAATCGGAGGGGTCTGTGTCAACAAATCTGGGGGATTCTAAATTTTGGGGTGAATGAGGATGAGTAGAATCGTAAGGGTCAATCTTGTGAGTTAAAGGGCCTAGGGAATATGCAAGTATATTAGACAGTTTGAAAAATTCGTTCGTTATTTGGCAACTGGTGGCTCTCACGGTTGCATTTCAGTATTTTTTTTCACACCTGAGGCCTCTTAAATCACGCAGTGCAGAATTTTTTGAAAGTACCCAAAGCAGTAGCACCGCAGATCGGTGTATGTTAAGCCAGTTCTAGAATCCCATACAACCAACAGCTGATCAATTATAGCGACGGCATTAGGCCCGACTATGAACGGAAATTCATAGTCAACGGTTTCCCCGCATTTCAGTAGTTTTTCAATCCTTCACGTGGTGGGTGACGCCATCTTGTTTGGATACCCCCCTCCCTCTCCGCAAGGGACTACCAAGATGGCGGCGCTCCCACCTCGTATTTTTAACCCTTCATTAAATCTATTTATCGTCCTCAGATCACCCTCAACTCACTCCATCCGGTTTCAACAAAGTGAACAAATTTCTCAAGCCATCTTTCAGATTTTTCGACCCCCCTTTGGCCCGGAATTAATGGCTCAAAGTTTTCCCCGAATTCTAGTTTTTTTTACCAACCGAGAATCCAAAACTTTCTACACTGGTCCCGCCCCCCAGCACAAATATCCTCCGTCCATCGAAGGCGAGCTCGTGCCTGTACCTCCCAGAGGGTTCCATCGGATCCCTCCCGGAGCAGATGTACACACTCTCCCACAGCCCCATCCTGAGATCATACCGATGAATATCACAGGTGTACTCGTACCCCGTGGTGCCCCCCACCGTGTAAATAAAATTATTCGTCGTGACCAATGCCTGCCCATACTGAGGATCGGGAAGACTCCCCACAGCCGGCAGTTCCCCGATACTCCCGTTCTCAAGGTCACAGGCGTACAACTTGTTGCTGCAGCTCTCCCCGAAGGGCACGGCTGTGCCCCCATAGACAATTAATTTGTGTTGGAATAGGAGGACCGCGGTGGAGGCCAGTTCGATGGGGAGATTTTTCTGTCCAGGGTATCGCTCCCACTTTTTCGTGGCGAGGTTGAACCGCCAGAGCTCTTTGAACAGGGGCTTGCTCTCCCTCCAGACCTCGTCTTTCGACATTTCGGGGTCGTCGTCGGGGATGCAGGGGTTGAAACCCCCTATTGAGTACATGTACTTGTCGTCGCAGACGATCCGGTGACCGCTGCGGGCGCGCGGCCGTCGGTGCGTCGAGGGGTTCAGGATTTCGAAGGTGAAGGGCTTGAATTTGTACATTTTTTAGGTTGCGGGAGGGGGCGGTGAGGTCTTTCTCTAGGGGTTTTGAGGGTATGGGAAATTTTTGAGGTTATGGACGGTGGTTTTAGGATTTTTGAGGTTATGGGAGGTGGTTTTCAGGTTTTTGAGGTTATGAGAGGTGGTTTTAGAATTTTTTTCAAAGTTTTTGAGGTTATATGAGGTTTTTTTTAGGTTGCTGAGGGATTTTGGAGGTTATAAGGAGTGTTTTAAGAATTGGAAGGCTATTTAAAATTTTTTTAGGCTCTAAGAGATATTTTTGAGGGTATTCAGGTCCTTTTGGGATTCTTTAGGGATTTTCGAGACGGATTAACGATTTTTTAGGTTAATTTAAGCCTGAGGAAGAAATTTATGAAGGTTTTTGAGGGGTTTGGAGGAGTTTGGGAGCTCGTTTGAGGTTTAAAGAGACTATTTGAAATACTTCAAGAGTTTTTGAAGGAATTGAGGTTTTTATAAATTATTTTGAAGATGGGGGAAGGGTCTGAGAGGGTCGGAGGTTTTTTGGAAGGTTGTTGAGGTTCAAATATGGTAAGTATGAGGGAATTTGAGGTTAATGTGAGGGTGTGATGTTTTTTAGATGTAATTTACAGTAATTTGGGCTTGATATTGAGGTTGAGGCAAGACTGAAGAGGTTATGAAGCGATTCGCGTGCTTTTTCGAGATTTCTGAGAGGATTTCAGGGCTTTTTCACGGGATTTGAGATCGATATGAGGGGAGAGGGGTTCCAGGAGATTGTGAGAGGATATTATGTCTCTTTTGGGCTTTATTTTGGAATCAGAAGCTTCAGGAAGTGGAAGCTATGAGACTTTACGGATTCATTAGCCTTAATTTGTCCATTTTTTGGACCATTTGAGGTCCGTTTCACCGGGAAGACGAATTTCGAAGGGAAAATTTGAGTCTCAATGATTTTTTTGCAATTGTCTTCGGTTTTTCGAACGTTTTGGAGATGTTGCAGCCTCACAGTTCCTTCAGGAAAGTTCACACACTTTTTTTCACGTCTGAGGGCACTCAGGGAAAATTTGTGACACACATTTTTTATTAACTGAGGGCTGAACCACTTTTCATAATTTATTCTATCAATTTTATCAATTATTATTGGAGAATTGACGCGAGTTATTTTCACTGTTTTGATGGAACTGAACTGTACGTCGGGGCGAGTGGAGAGGACTCTAGTGGCAACACTTGAAAGTAATTTCGATGAGTAATTTTTAAAATTATTTATTATCAATCATGAATCACTGAGAGAAGACTAATTTTAAATTCTCAGAATTTCTGGTCTTTTTCCAATCGAAAAGGCTTTTGCAATTTATTGTTAAGAATTTTTTCGTTTTCCAGATATTTTTTTTTTAACTAAACAATATTCTGATAATTATTAATTATTGTTTTGATGATTATTATTTTTTCGTTCTCTACATATTTATTTTTTTAAAGCTATAAACAATATTTTGATAATTACTAATTATTGTTTTGATGATTATAATTTTCCTTCTTTTTTTTGTTAAATGACAATCATTAATTAATTCTACGGGATTTTTTTGGGTTTCATTAAATAAAAAAATCAGTTGTGAGTTCATTTGTTCAATTATTTATTTATTTTTCAATGGAAAAAATTGATAATTAATTTGATGAAGTACAGATTCTCCCCCTGAGGCTGAAAATGATGAATCATTGGGTGTCATTGTGATGAATAAATGAAGAAACAACACTTCCAGTTTAAAATTCCTATTTTATTGAAATTCAATCGAAATATTTGCATAAAACGTGAGATAATCATATTGTATTACACACAGAGCCAGCTAAGCATTCACCAAACGAGTTCAATAAGCTGAGTACCATCACCCACTCATGCCCGGCGTAAAGGACAGTGTGAAGATGATTGTCTCATCCTTCTTGTAAATGAGAAAAAAAAATATGAAGAAAGGGAAAAACAAATCGTGAGATCTCAATCGGTTAATTACGAATTTCGGACTATTAACCGATTTCATTGTCTTTTTTGTATTGTTTCTCGGTCCAGCCACACGTCCACTCATGTCGAGGGTCAGTTGGAGCCCCTGGGAATCCCCGAAATCGAATATTCTTGAATTTCAGCCGAAGCGAGCGGAAAATTCGGAAAGATGGCTTTAAAAATTTGTTCACTTTCTAGAAACTGGATGGAGTCAGTTGAGGATAAACTGATGAGCATGAATAATTTTAATGACTGTTTAAAAACGCGAGGTGCAGGCGCCGCCATCTTGAATCACAAACAAGATGGCGGCGCAAGTCTGTCGACCACCTCGTGTTTTTGGACATTTCTTACGATTATTCATCTTTATGAAATAACCGTCAACACGGTTCATTCAATTCCTGGAGAATGAACAATTTTTTTAGCTTTCTTTTCGATTTTTTCACCCATACTTGGCTGAGAATTCATGGCCCAAAGTTTGGCCCCATTTCAGTATTTTTTTTATATTGAGTTAATCATCGAGTCTAAATATTTTTTAAGGGGGTTTCATCTGATTGACTCGACACTGTGATGACGGTAGGTCCAAACAATCGCCTGCCTGTGGGCAAGGGACCAAGGTGGTCCAACAGCACTTCTCAGCTGTGATTGGTTGAAACAATAAGTGGCTGTCGTCCGCAAATTTTGGGAATTTTTTTACGAAAAAAAAAATTGTCTTTGAATTTAGAAGTGTCAAGTTGTCTCAATTCCTCCGAATTCATCCCAAAATTGCAGACTATCGCCTGAAATATATTCCATACTGTTTGCAGAATATTTCCACGAAACTCCTTTATTCCAGGATCAAGAAAAAAAAATTTAAAAAATTATTTTTATAATTATGACACTCAATGAAATAGTAACAGAACTTTCTACATGTTCAGATTCTGCATGAGATTGTCCTGCCGAATAAATTTCACAATAATTGTTCAAATGACTGGAGAGCAGTTGAAATAATTTATTCAACACTGAAAAATTCGTCTGCTGGGTATAAATAAATCACGATTAATAACGCAAATGCAAAATGAAAAATCTAAAAAATAAATTCAGAAAGACAATCTCTGGAAAATTAAATAATTAACAATGCGTAGATTTTGATACGTACACGTGTTCACAGCACGATTATTGATGTTTATTAATTCTTTCGCACTTAATCTCTTTAAATTTCATTAACATTTCCTCCATACTCATCGCATCGACTCCACTTATTATTCACTTGAAAATGAAAATTAATGAAAATGAAGAGTAGAGACGAGAAATAAGCAAAGCTGAGGATTTAGTGCTCTTTTATCATTGTTCACAAATTGATATTCTGTTTTTTTGATAGAAAAATTGTGATCGTGGTGAAGATTAATAGATTTTAAAGATAATAGTATAACTGTTGAGCCGAAAAACCGAAGGGTCAAAAATTACATCTTTCATCATGAAATTATCAAGACAAGGAGTCGTATCAGGGGGAGAAGTCCTTTGACATTACCCCCTGGAGCCACTCACCCCCAAAATAATCGCATAATCATCAAACACGTCATATCCAACTCGTCAGTTTCACCAATAGTTCCACCAATTACCTTCGAAATAAACAAAGAAAATCCTTGAGTGTTTGAAACAAATCGAGTATTTTATTCATCCAATCACTATTCAATGCTCCCCCACGATCTCAGAATCGATCTAATGATTGCTCAACGAACCAGGAAATCACAAAATAATAGGAAAAATAATCGAATACAGATCGAACGAGTGATCATTATTACACGAATAAATTCATCATTAATCAATAAATCACCTCATATTTTCACATCGCTCTTTAAAATTTGTGAGTACCCTCAGTACTTACCACTCACTCATGCGTAGCCATAACGTTCCTTGCAAGGAAATCATCCCAATTGATTCGCAAAGCTGACGCCACTCATTTCTCGCCATACTCTCAAAATTCCCGCCCTCTGCCCCCCAAAATCTGGGGTTCAAACCCACACCATCACCTGGATCAGCAAAAATGAGCTGAAATTAAAAAAAAGACGACCCATTTTGCCCCAGAATTACGGTAGATATCGATCAAAAACGAAATTGAGTCGAATTCGAATTTCGCCTGTAACTCAGTAAATAATGGGGCAATATGGGTCGTCTTTTTTTTAATTCCGGCCGTTTTTTTCCGATCTATCGAATGGGGTCACAATCGACCCCATTGGAGGGCATCACCTGTGCGAATCAATTCAGCAGTACTTGTACAAAATAAAAATTACGACTGACTAACCTGAGGCAGCCAATCTCCACGCTGCTACTAATCTCCTCAACACCCGCTCTGAGCAATCCCTCATACCAACAATAACCCACGATGCACGAAACCCCCATTTCTTATATTTCAGAAACCCATTCCTTATAAATCAGCCAAGAAGACCCAGAAATTTACATTAACTCGTAAAAAATCTCTGGTTTTTTACGAATAAACATAAAAATCAAAGTCATCCCTGGATGCAGTACGGAATATAAGAAACGAGAGGCTCATTAGTACCTCGTCGTTAGTCATCCCATCTCATTGAAAATAAATTAATAATTAATCATTGATTAGCAGCAGCGTAAAGACGCCACCTGTCTGCGCGCATTGTGTGTCTCACCACGAGGACATCCCAGTGGATTATCGACAGCCTAGAAAGAATTTCATTCGTGTCATTAACCACGGGGGAAATGATTTCCAGGCTTAGTCTATCACTTACGCTAAATTGATTAATTAATTAATCGAGAACATCAATTTTTCATTTCAATTCAAGTCTCGTCGGCACTGCATGGGGTGGCTGGTAACCCCATTCAACGGGTCGGTGAATAACACCTCAAATTAAAAAAAAGACGATCCATTTTGCCCCATTATTTTAGGAGTAACAGTGAAAAAACGAAATGATGGCAATTTCGTTTTTCCTCAATATCTCGGGAAATAGTGGGGCAAAATGGATTGTTTTTTTTTCAATTTCAGCTGTTTTTTTCCGATCTCTCGACTGGGGCCACCATCCGCCCCACAACTCCACTCTAATTAGAAGTTAATTGATTAATTAATCAATCGATTAAAATTATTAATTAAAAAAACGAATATTTTTTTTGCTAACTTTTGAGTGAACTGTTTAAATCCTCTTGAAACATTTTGTTTTTAATTATCTTGTGTGTGTGTGTTTTTTTTTTTCGGTTAATGGAGGGTGGGGCTAAGGCCGGGCCCACAGCACGAAGTGCAGCGGTGGATTGGACCCGTCCATCGGAGGCGATCATCTGAAGCGTGGATGCATCATTGGTGCTAGCATTGGTGCACCTGGAAAACCCATTGGGGCAGCAAATGCTGGATGCATTGCACCCGGTGGCAATGCACCAATCATTCCTGTAAATTTTAAAAAAGAAAAAAATGGTCATTCCCGTATTTTTCGTTTTGATAATTTTTTGTGATTTTTTTATACTGTTTTTTTGATAAATCTGGGACGAGTTGTGGGGCTCTGGAGGTGGTGGAGGCACCCAGAAGCCCGCCAGATATTTTTTTACTTCGAAATTATTTTTTTCAACCTATTTTGGGGGTTTCTCGCGGTTTTGAAAATTTAGCGACGATTTCGGGAGTTTTTGAGGACTTACGATGTTTTTATTTTGTACTTACGGCTCTGTGGGGGCGCGGGAGCGGGTGGTCCGAGGGGGGGGGGCAGACACTCGACATTTTTTGGATTTTTTTCATTCATTCGTTTCGTTCATTCGGGTAATTTTTACTGTTGATTTTTGGTTTTTCAATTTTTTTTTATGATTGTGATGACGAGGGTCACGGGACCCGGGGTGACAGCCATGATCGACTTTTTTTTTTTTCAATTTTGAAAGAATTCGGTCGTGGAGGATGCAGTTTTGGGATTAATAATGACGCCTCGGATTTTTGTTGATTTTTTAAAATTAATTTTTTGGATTGGACTGAGAGTAAGCTAATGACGCATGAGACGGTACAACATGCAAAACATGTGCCGGCATAAACATTGACAATTCCACAGCAAACCGATCAAGTGCTACCACACCAATAAACAATAATAAATGAATAATAATTGAATTGAGAAATAAAAGATAATACTAGAGTTATTGCCTTCTAGTTGGCTATTTGTGTTGGGGATCACTCGGCTGTCACCCGAGTTTATTGAACCGTCTCATTAGCATTGGTTTTAATTGGTGAAAGTAAAAGAAATAATTAAGAATAATTACCCATCACATATTACTTGAATTCCGTGGGGCGATGATGGTACGTGAACAGTGGATTTTGGGATTCTTTTTAGTAATGGGATTGTGTCGTTGACGAGTGGCTTGAGGAGAAAATGTTGAGACATTTGTGGAGAGAATGTAATTTTCTGGAAAAAAATTCGTCTGGCATTTTCCCCTAGACTCAATGTGCACCGAGATAATTCAATAATTAATAACCGACATGAAAAATCCCAGTTAATCTCCCTCAATACCTCAATTATCTCCGAAACAATTGACTCTACGAAAAAATGTCAAAAGACTTTTTCTGCAGCTGACAAAATTCCCCACAAAAAATGCCTTTTCAGATTTTTCCCTAAACCCACTCGTCACCTCGACAATCCCTCGACAAACGAGACCCAAAAAATCGTCTGTCACCCTCGATCACCTCACCACCGAATTAAACTCAAATATTAATTAATGAATAAACTGTTAAAATGAATTTACTTACTGTAAACACGATTAGCCTCAACTTATCTAAATAAATTCTTTGTGTAACACATAACATAACTAGAGCTATCAAGTGTGAAAAATACGTCCAAATAATAGCTTTCATCTATTCTCAATGAATCTCTCTCCTTCAATAAAAGTAATTAATTATTTTCATTCCTTGCAAAACGTACCGTCCACATCCCTTCTCAATTGTCAATTAAACTCTTTAGTCTGTTTATCCATCGGTTATAACTGCACGAATGTGCCTGGCAAGTTGACTGATGGTTAATCAATAAAAAAAAGTCAAAAATTAATAAAACAAAAACATAATTCAACAAATAAATCATGATTTCACGACTGTCTCGATTAATTCAGTAAAAAACATAATTTTATGAGTAATTAAGCATGAAGGAACCACTAGAGACTCTCAACACCAGAAAGTTCATACTAATTAAGATAATAAATTATTCATAACAATTTAAAATGAGTGAAACGAGTGCATCCCCTTCGAAACAATGAAAAAATTCATTTAAAAAAATATAATCATGATTTATGTGACTCAATCATTCATCAGCAGAAACAATGAGACTAATATCGCAATGGAGTAATGAATAATTAATCAATGAATTAATAAACCTGTTCCCAACGATAAAATCACCAATAATTTAAATAATAATAAATGATTTAATGTGATAATAATATAGAATAGGCCAAGTCACCGCATGCTAATTGCTAAGGACCAACCTTGTTTCATTATAATCTGTAATTTCTCATTAAAACACGTATTTCAATTAACCAGACTGGGGGGTCGCCCTGTAAACGCACCGTCAGAACGTCAACAATGACTTCAACAATTAATTAACAATTTCTTGATGAATTCCAATAAGAAAAAAATTATTACAGCTCCAGGACATCTGAATGGGGTCGATAGTGAGCCCATCAGCTGGATCGGAAAAAATTAGCTTGAATTAAAAAAAAGACGACCCATTTTGCCCCATTATTTATCGAGATAATTGCGAAAAACGGAATTGAGACGATTTCGTTTTTTAGCTGTAACTCGAGAAATAGTGGGGCAATATGGGTCGTCTTTTTTTTAATTTGTGGGTAATTTTCCCGATCCAGGCGATGAGATTGAGAAAATTGAGGATTTAGGAAAGGATCGTTAATGGAGAGAATGATTTAATGATGTTTTCATATGTTTTTGTGGGATGAGGTAAGAGAATTGATTGGAAGGAAATATTTTCAAGGGTTTCTGTGATTTTTGTACAGGAAAAGTGATTTTGGTGATCTCAGAGATGAGAAGATGGAAAAAATCATGAAGATCACGAGAGAAATTTCAATTTCTGTCAGAATTTTTCGTAACATTTGCTCTAAAAATTGAACAAAATTCATTTTTCATCGAAGAATAATGATCTTGAGTAATCTTCATGATTTTCCGACTGAGGGGCTTGAAAGTATGAAGAGAGAGAGTGAGAACTAATTCTAAAAAATTGCAAAATTTGCAATTTCATGAAAAAGAAAAAAAGGAAAATTAATTGGATTACTTGCGGATGAGAACACTTACCTGGTGGCAGGCCCATGGGGGGCGGTCTCATCATGTTACCTCCGTGAATGAGTGCAGGAGCAGCTAGTGTCATAGTGGGTCTCATGAGAGGTGCCATGAGAGCGACTGAAGACACAGGAATAGCAGCTGACGCAGGGACCATCATCTGGGGTGGCCTCTGGAATCTCTGGGGCTGTTGTTGCTGCTGCTGTTGCTGGAGAGCACTGAGGGCTGCATGCTGACGCTGCTGTTGATCCTGGAAGGCAGCCTGGGCATTCGCCACTGCAGCTGCCTGCTGCTGCTGCTGATGATGATGATTGTTTTGCTGTTGCTGGTGATTCTGCTGGGCCTGCTGGTGGGCAGACTGATGGTTCTGACCGTCGTGGGACCTTCTGCCAGAGTCATCTAGCTGCTTTCGTTGATATTTCGGTAATCTCGCCCTTATTTCCTCCTGGAAACAGATTTCCAATAAATTTTAATGATTTATTCAAACATTTTGACTTTGGACAAAAGATTTTTTTTCATTATTTTATTCTGCTCGCTTTTTTTAATAGAGTCTATCGTGACCCCAATATCAAAAAAAAAAGAACAGAATGAAATGAAAAGAATAAATGTCAGTGAATTCAGAGGAATTCAATCGACAATTTATCTCTAATTAAAAAATAATGCTGATACTCACGAGACTGAGATCCTCTTGTGGGTGAATAATTTTACTAGCAGCACCAGTTGTCGCAATAAGATTAACTTTGTGATCACCACTGGCACTGCTGTTGATCGTGGCACTACTGTCACCTCCGTACGCCGGAAATGTTGGCTTTATGGGACCTATCGAGCCCCCAGCTATCGACGTTACGGTTGTACCCATTGACGTTACGTTGCCAGCCGATGACATTGCTGTCGAGACGGCTGGAAACAGCGGTCTTGGGGGCATTGAGGCACCTGAGACTGGGGGCATCCCTGGCATTCCCTGCATCATCCTGGAAGCCCCAACACTATCAGTAAAATAAAGAAAAAAAATTCGCATTGAAAAGTCGATTTCATTCACCCGAAAATTCAAAATAAAGACGACTCACTTTGCCGTATTATTTCTCGAGCTACTAAATGTTGAAAAAAAAAATGATTCAATTCCATCGATTCATCGGCGAGAAATTGACGAATAACTTAAGTTTAACGATTACAAGGCTTCCACTGGCAAGAAAAAATAAAACAAAATGGGTCATCTTTTTTTTAATTCGTGGGTAAATCCAAGGATCTGTTTGCTCTCACCCTGGTCCCATGAAGGGGGGTCCAACGTGTCCCAGATGAGACATCATGTGCATTCCAGGGGGGAATTGGTGTCCCATGGGCATTCCAGGGTGTCCCTGCATGCCTGGCATCACTCCAGGCATCATTCCAGAGGGCGTAGGCACAGCCCCAGGGGCCGAGCCCAGGAGACCCTCGGGCTTGGACTTCTTCTGGGCTGGCTCGTCCTCACCGGAGGATGGAGAGCCTGGCCTACCTCCATTCCTCTGCTTCTCGTGCTCCTTGGCGTCGTTCGGGGGAATCCCCTCCATTCCGTATATTTCGATTTCTATATTGCTACGATTTGGCAATGAGTTTGGTACTTTGTCTATCGCCTCCTTGTGGACCTGGAGGGGGAACAGTTTTTTAAGTTGTTTTGGTCGTCTTGAGGCGATGGGAATGGCCTAATTCACTGCCTTCGTGGGTAATTAAGCATTATTAGGGGGTTTTGTCGATGGAGAGATGATTAATTATTTATTACTTCATTGCGATGTTAGCCTCATTATTTATGCTAATGAGGGTTGTTTTTTAAATCAATTTTTTCGTCGTTTCGAGGGGGGCAATTCGTTTTACTCATTTTTTAATTGCTATGAATAATTTATTCTCGTAATTAGTGTGAATTTTCTGGGGCTGAGAGCCTTTAGTGGATCCTTCATGCTTAATTACTCGTCCAGTTATGATTTTTATTGAATTAATTGAGGTAGTGAGTCATGAAATCATGATTTATTTGTGGAATTATGTTTTTGTTTCATTAATTTTTGTTTTTTTTTCATTGTTCACGTATGACCGATAGATAAACAGACTGAAGAGTTTAATTAACAATTGGGAAGGGATGTGGACGGTGGTTTTGCAAGGAAGGAAAAAAATTCAGTAGCGAAGTGGCAAAAGGAGAAAAGTCAATTTTGACTATTGACCAGTTTTCAATCAATATCTCGGAATCTAAGGGAGATAGCGAAATTTTTGTGATTACGTTTATTGTAGCACTCAATTGGCTCCACAAAAAAGGTTATGACAAAAATTTCGCTATCTCCCTTAGATTCCGAGATATTGATCGAAAACTGGCCAATAGTCAAAATTCGCTACTGAATTGATTAATATTTGGATTTAATTTGGTGGTGGAGGGTTACATGAATTATTAAATCATCTCGATGATTGGGTGGAGTGGTAAATAAACTCAATTACCTGCATACAGTGTATACTAAGCCCAGGCCCCGTGTACAACTTCTTATGGCAAATGTGACACTTGAAGTGTTTCGCCTTCTGATGCTGAATTAGAATTTTCTCGTCGTCGAATTCTCTGTTGCAATACCTTCACACCATTATTCGTTAAGGAAAAAACAGCCCACCCGTTCCCAACACCCCAAATCTCTCGGAATTCCCAATAAATTAATAAAATTCACCTTCAGAAGCCCCAGGATTTCGTAAAAAAATCATCCCCATGAAATCTGCAAATATCTTGAGAATGACGGGTCCTAGAGCAAAACCCCTCAGGACCTTTTTTGTAGCTGGCGAAATTTCCCACAAAAAGTTTCTCTTCACATTTTCTCCTAAATTCACTCCTTGTGGAAATAAACCGACGTTCAACGACAAGAGTCAACAAAATCTAGTTCTTTATCCATCTCAATCTTTCACAATCACCTTCTGCTCAATGACTTCATCATCCGCGACAATTACTCATGAAAATTCGTCAGGCAACATAAACAACCATCCCCTGACTCCAACGGAGCACCCCCCTGGACCCAATAACCCCATTTCCCAGCCCACAAAAAAAACTCATCAATAAATTCATAAAAAAATTGTCTTATCGTTACGTAAATGTCTTGATGCTCTAAAACAAATACATGTTGTGTGTGAAAAGGATACCAGCACCAGGGCCTCGACTGCTTCTTCTTCTTACGTCCCATTGTTATTAATTAACGTAGAAAAATACGAATGAGGGGGTGAACAGCTAGATTTCGGGGACGACACGAGCTGGCACTTGAGTTTCCGATGATTGCGGAAATTTCTTCTGACTTTTTTTGGGAATTACTGAGTGTTGACGGAATCACAGAGGTAGAACGCACATTAGCGCACTAACACATGCACAAAGCCAGAGCCATGTGCAAAATGGCGGAGGCGAGGCATCCGGAAGTGGCGGGCCGCCATGTTGGGGGGATGAGTTCCGGTCTGGGATGAAATTCGAATTTGATTGACATTTTTCGGGATTTTTTCTCGTCCCCGAGGTCATTGAAACCCTCAGGAATATCCTCTTTCAATGAATTCTGTACTAATTAATTATTTTTCAGTGATCAGTGATTGGTTTTTTTAAATATAAATAACGTGAAAGAAATATTTTTTAGGGTTTTTTATTTGTCCTCAAACAGAATGCCTTCGATCGCAAGTTATTTTTTATCAATCCTTTTAATAAGTAACATAACACTGACTGAACTGAAATGAATAGTAAATTTTTGTAAGCAAAATTATCACGTATCACACTGAGAGAAAAACAAACAAGTCTTGTTTGGGCCAACAAAATCGCTAGTTGAAAATTGCCAGAAAAGAATTTGTTTGGTTTCGAATTTGAAAGTCTCGAACATGAATAATTGTTCTGCTTTCGACAGCAACGAAATATTTGGCAAGAGGCGGATAATTCACACCAGACGGTACCTTTTCAGGATTAAAATACAAATATTTCATCCCCAAGTAACAAGATTGCTATCATATCATTATTATTGTTTCATTTAAGGGTTCATTTGTTGTCTGGATTATTAGACAGTCGGAACGAAAAACTACTGTCCCTTGTTTCGCATAAAACAAAGATTTCTCGGGAGCAAAATACGTATGGGAGTGTCGAATAACGAAGGAGTAGTGCTAGAAATGACATTTCTCGCGTGTACAGAGAATGCGATTTTTTTTGAACTACCAAATCTATTTTTGCGACAAAAATTTTTCATTCCGGCGCGCTCTCCGCACGTTTGGCACAAAAAAAAAATCCTTTTTTGATAATAATAATATTTATTCAGCATGTATACCCTTTCGGGCTTTTACATTTTGTACCCCTCCCTGTTTCCCCTGATATAAAATACAAAGTTATACAGAGTTATAAAGTTTACAGGTTTATACATTTTCTTAGACTAGCGTAAAGCTTTACAAGTTTTAACAAATTTTTAAAAAATTTTAAACGACTTCCTTTTTTGATAATTTTACACAAGTAAGACTTGTTTGATAACTTTGTCATTTTTCTCTCATCTCCACAGCAGATGGTCAAAGTGAATTATTCGTCCGCGCTAATGTCGCTAGTTCTCCCTATCCACCTTCATCTTCTTATTTCTCACTCGAATCCTTCACGTTTTTTTCGCTCAAATCAAACGGGAATCCACTCTCTCTTGCTGGCAATGAACTTGCTTCAGAATAGCTAGTATCGCCGCGACTACCACGCCGGTGACTTCTTCGCGTGCTGCGCGCTGTTATCACTCTTCAAGGATTCTACATTTTGCCTTTTTGATTTTCAACAAAAGTGAAAAATCGCGGGTGTTCACTATAATGTTTTTCAGAATCGCCATTTTCATAGGTCTCGGCTCAGTTGTTGCAACAATCATTTATTTGACACCCATACCAGGTGAATTTTCCCATCGAGAATACTCATTAGTCATACCGTTATCAAACGTAAAATATTCCGACATTTAATTACGTTTTCTGTTTTTTTTTTCAAAAATTTGGCGTGTGAGTTTCATTTTCACCGTTGAAACGCGCCCACAGCAGCGCGAAACCCCCGCATTTTTTTTATTTTTTCCCTTTTGCAGAAGAAAAATTAAACTCTTAAAATTACCCAAACATTTCAGTTGCGAAGTGGTAAACGGTATAAGTCGATTTTGACTATTGGCCAGTTTTCAATAAATATCTCGGAATCTGAGGGAAATAGCGAAATTGTTGTGATTTCCTTCTTTGTAGCTCTCAATTTGCTCTACAAAAAAAATTATGACAAAAATTTTGCTATTTCCCTTAGTTTTTGAGATATTCATTGAAAACTGGGCAATGGTCAAAATCGACTTATACCGGTTTACCAATTCACTACTGATTTTCATTTGTACTCTAAAACGCACAGCCGAGTGGGCATTAGGTGAAAGTTATGGATGAGATATTGCTCTGCAATGGCTGTCCGCTCGCACATTCGCTGCGCCAATATGAGTGCGGAAGCGCGTATGTGCAGCCTTCGAAACATATTATCCGTTCGTTGCTCTTTGAGTACACACAAGCTCCTGCAGATGTACCTCAGCATTTGCCATTACTGCACTGATAGACGACTTCATTTATTCAAAACGAGATTGTTAACTATCAACGAATGAACATTTGGCGGGAGCGAGTGGACCCTCGCCTCCAGCTAAATCCATTCGTTAATAATAACTAATCCTTTGTATCAGTGTCGGGTGATGTACACGGAGAGGAAAATTCATTAAAAATTACCGGAAAAAAACGTAAAATTACGTTTCGAAACGCAATCCGCGAGCGAAGTAAAATTCAATAAAACAATCGAGATATGCGGTAGCGTATCGGCCAAGTCGCGCCTCATAACCTCAGAACAAAACGACGAGAGCCACTACCCTCAGCTGATTTTCCATCAATTAATGAAAAATGCGCCCACTTAGACGAAAACTGTCCTTAGTTACACTATATAAATCACAAAATTCGATTTTGCCGACAGTCGACTTTCCCCTGAAAAATCCAAGATGACATTCTCACTTGACAAAATTTTTCTAAATAACAACTAAAGTTAATATCAACAATTTAACAGAAAAACCAAAGTTCATATGTAAATAACACTCGACTGGAGTCACCTAAATAATCCAACGATGGATTAATATTTATCAATTACAAAATGAATAAAAAAAAATTCTCGAATTTTTTCAATCGTGAGAGGGGAGGCGAAGTGAATTATAATTCAGTATTGTCGAATTATTTTTATCAACAAAATAAAAATTCCCCAAATGAGTTGATGCCAATCGTAGAACCGTCCGACTAGCCCCAGCTTTCTATCCTCAAACTTACGAGCCGAATCAATTGGGAGTCGTGAGCGAAAGCAAAATTATTTCAAGTTCAAAAACGTAATGCGAGAGGGAATGAAAGGTCGTCAGATGAAAGTTTACCAATGGCTAAGAAAGAGAAGCAGTGAGAGCAACGGTTATTTTTTTACTTCTTTCCTCAGAGGCCACCGAGGTCCGGGATCGCCAGACAACTTTCACCATTTTCATTTCATTTTACATACAGCCTTTCTTAAAATCATCTTCCTTCTCCTTTCATTGCTAAAAACCCAATGGGACAGAACATTTAAAGGAGAGAAGTCAAAATCACGAGTGTCTAACGGGCCTTCTTTCAAGACTATTCAACTTACTTTCATTTGAACAGTCTTCATCGGTATTACGGTACCTGCTACAGCTAAAATCCTATCATCAGTTATGTAGTTGTAGTTAGTAGTCTGCTGGATTGTGCTACTCAAGTCTCACGTGTGTGATAATCCTCCTGTCAGAGCAGTTTGTTCAGACCTGTGAATTTCGTCAATTTGACAATATCAGGATTAAATTCTTTTCGGCGCCGAGTGAACTAGTTCTTTATTTTATTNCGATTTTGCCGACAGTCGACTTTCCCCTGAAAAATCCAAGATGACATTCTCACTTGACAAAATTTTTCTAAATAACAACTAAAGTTAATATCAACAATTTAACAGAAAAACCAAAGTTCATATGTAAATAACACTCGACTGGAGTCACCTAAATAATCCAACGATGGATTAATATTTATCAATTACAAAATGAATAAAAAAAAATTCTCGAATTTTTTCAATCGTGAGAGGGGAGGCGAAGTGAATTATAATTCAGTATTGTCGAATTATTTTTATCAACAAAATAAAAATTCCCCAAATGAGTTGATGCCAATCGTAGAACCGTCCGACTAGCCCCAGCTTTCTATCCTCAAACTTACGAGCCGAATCAATTGGGAGTCGTGAGCGAAAGCAAAATTATTTCAAGTTCAAAAACGTAATGCGAGAGGGAATGAAAGGTCGTCAGATGAAAGTTTACCAATGGCTAAGAAAGAGAAGCAGTGAGAGCAACGGTTATTTTTTTACTTCTTTCCTCAGAGGCCACCGAGGTCCGGGATCGCCAGACAACTTTCACCATTTTCATTTCATTTTACATACAGCCTTTCTTAAAATCATCTTCCTTCTCCTTTCATTGCTAAAAACCCAATGGGACAGAACATTTAAAGGAGAGAAGTCAAAATCACGAGTGTCTAACGGGCCTTCTTTCAAGACTATTCAACTTACTTTCATTTGAACAGTCTTCATCGGTATTACGGTACCTGCTACAGCTAAAATCCTATCATCAGTTATGTAGTTGTAGTTAGTAGTCTGCTGGATTGTGCTACTCAAGTCTCACGTGTGTGATAATCCTCCTGTCAGAGCAGTTTGTTCAGACCTGTGAATTTCGTCAATTTGACAATATCAGGATTAAATTCTTTTCGGCGCCGAGTGAACTAGTTCTTTATTTTATTAGTTTTTTGGATTGCGATGAAAGGGGTACATTGAGGTGATGTCGGCGACGCGGGAACGCTTTGGTCACTTGAGGGAGAACAATTAAATGCTCCTCCTTCCATTGAAAAACGGAAATATCGTCAATTGAGTGGCGATCGAGTGTGGACAAGACGTAAAAAAATTCAAACAAATCTCGCAATCTTATGGTTACTATGCCCAATTGCCAGATGAGCTCAAAAACATATTTACAACGCACCATTGTTGTTACCATCATGATTTTATCGGCAGCGAGTTTTTTACATTTTTGCAATTATAGGCCTAGTAAGTTCTGCTCGTTTCTCATAAGAGGAAATAAACTTTGTCTGCACGTTGTTTACAGGGAGACAAGAAGTGGAGAAATTTTCATGATCTCTCGTGATGATTTTTGTACTTGTGAAAGCAATTAATTTACACTCAGTCACTCACTAGAATCCATATTTTGATTTGAATAATAATATTTCGTAATTAATTGTGTTCCAATTCAATTTTCAGAACAAACGTTTTTGTCGTGCGACAGACCCTGCCATCATCTGGACTGGCCGATGATTTGTCGGGTGAAGTTGACATTAGAACCTTTTCATTCGCTCAGCAAGTACGAATAGATTTTTAATGAGTTACGAGATATTTTTAAAAAGTACGAATGGTTTTTTAAAAATGTATGAATTACCTCGCAGGGGAATTCTTTTGATTTATTTATTTATTTTTTTTTCTTTTATTTAAGCGCAAAACCTACAGATTTATACAGCTGTCAATAGACAAAAAGAAAGTATATATATAATATAATTTACATCTTATTGTAGTATCATTTGATTTATTATTGAAAATAAAAAATATATCGTATGAGTACGTTATATTCCTGATAGGAATTGCGTCATTATTACCGTAATAAGGTGTAAACGCAGTGCAACGAATAAGTATATTTATAGATGTATTAGAATGTGCACTTGGGAGCATGTGGTAGTTCAGCCATTGCATCATTTCGTTATGTAATCCCGCTGGAGATAGTTTGCTAATAAAATGTGTAACCATTTCTCGCCAAATGCTGTATGAATTTATGGATATCTGAAATTTTCAAAAGTTTCATTTTCCGGATGAATAAGCCACGTTAAGTGGCAATGGGAATTGCTCTCCTCTCCCTCATTTCTCGATAAAATACCTCTCTCAAATGACCTTTTTTTAAGGCTCTGTTTCCGTGATTTTTTTTAATTAAAAAGTCATGATTGACATTTCTTTAAAACAGTAACTCTATTCTCAATGTATAATATTTAACTGAATTTTAAAATGTTGCTGTTCCTCTATTTTAAAGCAGGTCTACCCTTACGGTAAATTCAAAGATTATTGAAAACTGCAAAAAATTGCAGAAAACGCGATTAGATTCGGAATTCTAATTTTTTTCTCAATTCAATTGTCGTTTTGGTTTTTCAAAGAAGACATGTTTAAAAATCAGGATTTAACCCAGTGTCTTATGTGAAAATCAATATTTCCATTGTAATCAGACTAAAATCTGAATTTTTTTGACACCTCATAAAAAAATAATCCACCGTTTTGCAAACAAGTTTTATTATTTATTTATAAGAGGGAAATGTTCGAAAAAATATCAATATTTTGCGAAATTTCATTTAGATAATACTGACTGAGTATGAATTTTTTCAAATGTTTTCCATGCAATTTAGTTGAAAAATTGAAAAAATTAAAATATTCAAAAGCACAGCGTCGCCCGGCCGAAGGGTAGAGCTACTAGAACTAGAAATGAAAATGAAGAAAAAAATGTACGCAAAAAGGAACAGTCATGTATAATCTGTCAAATAGCTTCCGTCATGCTGCTTGTTTAATTTTTGTTTCAATTTTTTTCCATTTCACCTTTCGGTTTTTACGGTTTCTCATTCCTTCATTGCGTTTTTGTAAATCCTATAGAATTTCTATACGATTCTTTCATACGCGTAGTTAGGGCCCTTCTCTGACTTTTTTTCCCATTCACGTTTTAGGGATATAATTCAGTAGCGAAGTGGTAGAACGTTACAAGTCAATTTTGAATATTGGCCAGTTTTCAATGAATATCTCGGAATCTAAAGCAGATAGCAAAATTTTTTTTATAACCTTTTTTGTAGAGCCGATTGAAAGCTACAACAAAGGTAATTACAAAAATTTCGCTATCTCTCTTAGATTCGGAAATATTCTTGAAAAACTCAACTGCCAGACGAGCCGACTTAAATCGTTTTACCACTTCGCTACTGAATTATCAGTGAACATTCCAGGGCTTGTGGTAATTGTTTGGTGAATGAGACATCGTGTTTATCAAAACATTGTGTCTCCGTTGATGGCCATCGGCGCGGAATACTGACAGCCAATCGGCAATTACCAGGACCTAGCATTCAGGTATAGAGGGTTCTGACTTCGGGAATCTATGGTTTTCTGTATTTTTCACTCGCCTTGTCCTCAGGTCTGCGAAAATGACATTTTGGTAGTCGATATCGTCAATCGATTGCCGGGAAGGGCAGCGACCATGCACTGGCGAGGGCAGAATCAGGTCGAGACTCCTTCTATGGACGGCGTTCCCCTGGTCACCCAGTGCCCAATACCAAGCTATACAACTTTTCAATATAAATTCAGAGCTTCCGTACCTGGAACCCATCTTTGGCACTCTCACTCAGGTATTACATGAAAAAATTCAATAGAAAACGTTGCGAATTCGCTAGAAAATTCTATTGGAATTCTACAGGAATTCCGTCGTGTTTCTATAGAATTTCTATTGTAATTCTATACAAGATTCTATTGTTGATTCTATAGAAGCGCAAAAATAAAATAGAATTCTTTTATAGAATTTCTATTGTAATTCTATAGAAGAATTCTATTTGATTTCTAAAAAATTTCTATTTGATTTTTTGAAATAGAATTCTTCTATAGAATTTCTATTGTAATTCTACAGAAGAATTGTATTTGATTTCTAGAAGATTTCTATTTGATTTTTTGGAATAGAATTCTTCTATAGAATTTCTATTGTAATTCTATAGAAGAATTCTATTCTTTTTTTGCACTGATTCAATCGAATATTTAATACAAAAAAGTCAATAGATTTCGAATTTCTGTTTGAATTTTTTTCTCAGATTTTTTCTGTTAGAAATTATTCTGCACAAATTTTCCAAGTTTTTCCGCTGGATTTTGTTTTGATTTGTATTACAGAAGGCGAGTGGAAAAACTTGGAAAATTGATGCCCAAGCATTTTTATAGAAAAAATCTCAAGAGAAAATTTCAAACAAAAATTCGAAATCTGTTGACTTTTTCTTATCGAATATCCAATAGAATTCCAATAGAAGTCCTATAGAATTCCAACAGAATTCTCTAGCGAATTCGCCAGGTTTACAATTAAAAATCAGGTTAACAATTTAATAAATAATTTTCCAGCGTCTGATATAGCCAATGGTATTTTTGGTTCATTAATCGTGAGACAAGCGGACGTGAGAGAACCGCATCGTAATCTCTACGATGTAGACGATCCCAGTCATGTTATTCTCATCTCTCAGTGGCATCACTCCATTCAATCTGATTACGGTATCAATGACTACGGCGCAGCCAAGAAATCGGCATTGCTGCTAATTAACGGAAAAGGTCGTCAGCCGCATGACTCGAAAATGCCATTATCAGTTTTTAACGTTATCCCCGGCAAAAGACATCGTTTTAGAATAGCTCATGCTGGTGGCACCGGCATATGCCCTGTTACATTTTACATTCACCAACATTCGATGCTACTCATTGCCCTGGATGGCCACCCCATACAACCGATGACGATCGACAAAATTACGCTGGCCAATGGTACGTTGAGAATGAGAGAAAATGAGAAACAAATTCATCGAAATCACCGCGAAAACTAATGTCTGAATTTCAGACACTTTTCAAACACTTTTGAGACGATTTTATGATTCTAGGAATCTTCCCGGAAAAAATTTCCCAATAAAAAATTTCCCGATTTTATTTCCACCGCAACACGAACAGTACAAGTACACAAGAAATTTTTTTACGGAGGATTTTTTTTTTTATTTTATCCGGGAAATTTCTTGCGGGAAATTTTTTCCGGGGAAAATGTATCCGCCTACCCGATTTTGTAGACACTTTTGAGACATTAAGGTGTGTCTGAATCAATGGAGGATTTCAATTTCAGACACCAAAATGTCTGAAATTAAGACGCAGACATCAGTTTCAGACACTAGCGGTGTTTGAAATTTTCAAACATCAGTTGGATTTTCAGACACTTTTAAAGATTCAGACGTTTTTTGCCATCTGCCATCTTAAATTCAGATGGTTGTCAGACACCTAGTTTTTGCAGTGGATGAGTCAACTTTTCAGACATGAGAAATATCTTAAAAATTAATGTTTTAATGGACTTTGCCGTATGAATCGGGCGAGATATCTTAATAGCGAAATGTTTGAATCGCTCATAAATAACGGAATTTCAGACAGAAAATATCTGAAAATAAATACCTGAAATTTTTCAGACACAAAAAATGTCTAGCATCATTTTCAGACAGAACCGTTGGTTGAAATTTTTAGACATTAGTCAGATTTTCAGAAACCTTTGAAGATTCAGACGGTTTTTACCATCTGACATCTTCAATTCAGATAGAAAAAACGGTTTTTATTTTTTGACTGGAAAACATTTTCGCAGGTGAAAGAGCAGATTTTATTTTGGAAACGACTGGCGGAAAGAATGATCGGTATAATATCACCGTTCAGACCGTAAAATCGTGCAGAAGGAGTTCGATTAGTGGCTCGGCAATATTGAAATATCAAATGCCAAATTATTTGAACGCAATTGATGAGCCTGCGATCATGAAAACAGCGAATAAAAAAAAGATGACGACCAATCCGGCTGACGAGTGTCAGACAGCGGAGAATATTTGTGTGACCGAAGTTAAAGCACTGAAAACATTGCCAGCGGCTTTGACCAAACCGAGAGCACAAGTGACGATTTATCTACCGATTAATCAACAAACACTTGTATCGAATATTGCAGGTACATCATGAGGATCATTCGCGGAGAGAAATATTCAGTAAAAATTACGGAACTCACCGAAAAAATTCCGTGACAGTTCCGTAAAATTTCCTGCACCCACATTTCGCTCCGGAATTACGGAAAAGATACGTAATTTTTATTGAATATTTCTCTCTGTGTTGGTATTGATCTGTGTAGATATTTTCTCATTGTTGTGACAATTGTCGTTTCTGCTCATCAGGGGAGGATATGAAGAGGCTGAGTATGAATAATGCGAGCTTCATATATCCCTCATCTCCATTGCTAACTCAAGGTGCAGATGTACCCGAGGATATTTTGTGCTCTGGGGGTGATCCCAATCTGTCTAATCACTGTAAAAAACAGGAAAATGGAGGGACTGAGTGCGAGTGCGTCCATTTGAAACGTATTCCGCTGGGCGCCACTGTGGAAATTATCCTTTTAGATCAAGGTATTCTTCACATTATTCCACAAAGTTTAAGAAATTTTTTAATCTTTTTTTTTTTTTTTTTTTTTTTTTTTCAAGGTTTTTAGTCAATGAGCAGTCAGTATTTACATATGTACATATCTTGAAAACTAGAATCAAAAAACTTTTATGCAAATTTCTGTTTATTAAGCATTTCTGAACAATTATAAAAATGAGACCGTCTGAACTATTTACAGATGTGGCAGCTTAGAATTATTACCAATACACTTCAGATTTTTATGGAACATTTGAGAAGAAATTTGTTAATTATAACCAGAGAGTTTTTATTTAAAATATTCGAGACGCGTTATATGAAGTTCGAAATAATAATTCGTTTGTGGCTCGCGCCACAAAAAAATAACGATTTTGCTAGCATCGGGGTATCCGCAGGAGGAAATGGCTATTTCTTCAAAACATAATTTTTCGTCACAATGTACACGTGACGACGTTTCACGGATAGTTTGATCAAAAAATAATTTTTTCATATGATTAGTTAATTACATGATGTGAAACTTCTGGTATTAGATCACAAAAATGAATATTTCTTATTGGCACAAACGACATCGTAATGATATTCTCTGCTGCTTTAGCTGGGCGCGACGATCTCATCTATCACCTTCATGGATATCATTTTTACATTGTGGGTGCCAGGCATTTCGGTAAAAGTGAAAGTCTCGATGATATCAAAGAAATGGACAGAAATGATGCTTTGTTTACCCGTAATTTGGCTTGTCCACCACTCAAGGACACAGTGATAGTACCAAAGTATGGAGCAGTAGCAATTCGATTTAAGGCTGATAATCCAGGTGAATGATAAATTGAAATTAATTCCTCTACAGTTTCATTTACAGATCGACATCAATCATTACTTTAGTAATATTATGAGAATTAATATTATTGCATTTTACAGTAATTTAGATTTATTTATCGTAATCGAAATATCAATACTTAAGTTGATGATTATTTTTAGAATAAAAAAATTGGTGAGTAATATTAACAATTGACTTTTTCTAAATTTAATTAATTGCTGAATTAATTAATTAATTAATTAAATTAATTCGTAAAAATTAATTAAAATCAATTACTTAATAATTAATTATAAATTATTAATAAAAAGAATCATTATTAATAATTAATAATATTAATAATTATTTGAAATTATTAATAATTAATTATAAATTATTAATAATTTATAATTAATTAAAATAATATTAAAAAATTGAAAAAAATGAGAAAAAAAATTAATAATAATAATTTTAAAAAAATTATTAATAATTAATTATTAATCAATCCAATTAATTAATTAATTTAATTTTTTAAATTTAGTCATAAAAATTAATTAATTACAAAATTAATTTTAATTAATTTTAATTAATTAATTTTTTAATTTGCGATAATGTTTTGAAGGCTATTGGATGCTTCGTGATGAGCACGCTCCTGAGTGGACGCGTGGACTAGACGTTATTCTTCAAGTTGGTGATACCACTGACATGGTACCAGCGCCTCAAGATTTTCCAAAGTGCGGATCGTTCGTTGGACCTGATTATTTCCTCATTTAAGAGCCCCTCTCACACAATGATAACTAAAATGTCGCTGTATATAATGTTTTTGTACATATTATTAAGAATAATTAAAAAACAAAAAATGTTTTTTCTTCTCTCATTCTCACAAATGCGATGTGAAATTCCCTACACTTGTGTTTCATTTTTTTCTTTTTCATCTACTATGCAATTTATCTGACAGGAAGGGTTAGGCAGCGTCATGTCTTATTGCCTAGACGTGATAGGCACATTATTGATCCCTCGGGAAGTATTTCTCCTCCAGCACAGGGTCTTTCGGGAATATGGAAAAGTCGCTGTTGGACCCGATTTCGTTCACACTTTCCCATCATTCATGGTTGTCGCAGCCCTCTTTGTCGTCACTCAGAGAGAACTGAATGTGAAATATTTCAAAATTTCAAATAAAACACTGGAAAAAATGCTTCAAGTAAAATACCATCGATTTAAGGTCTGTTATTATTTGAAATCTCAATAACATTTTCATTGACACATCAAGATTTTCGTCAACTGGATTATCATCAATGCTGGCCTCTGGTACTGGCTGGTCTTCCAGAGGATACTTTACTGCTGCATATGGTCGTACTGGAGTCACGTTAGTAATAATCAGCCCCACCTTATGTTATTGTTTTTATTTAATCATCCTGAGCCAAATATTTCGTTGCTGTCGAAAGCAGAACAATTATTCACGTTTGAGACTTTCAAATTCGAAACCAAACAAATTCTTTTTTGGCAATTTTCAACTAGCGATTTTGTTGGCCCAAACAACACTTGTTTAACAACGTGTTTGTTTTTCTCTCAGTGGATGTAGTCCTCCTGCACTCCTTAATAATTAATTAACATCAGTTATTTAAGATTTCTTCTATGATCTATGTTCATTTTCACCCACCGTATACTTCTTTTTAAAAATACCCTTTCATCATTCATAATTTTTAATTTTTCCTCATTTCAGGAAATTGAATTCCATCATTCTCACGTCCTTTGGTGGCAACGGGTCTGGCAATCCCTCTATCCACCACCCGCATCGCCGTCTCCCATTTCTGCCAGCTTCGTCAGCTGGATTCTATCCATGATTATTAGTGGAGTAATTCTGCACTGCTCCTTGCATGTTCAGAATTTAACAGGAAAATGTCTAAATGCCATTTCGCTATTAATAGCGCAGTTGAAAATTGAAGCAAAATATCTGCCGAGAAATAGGTATTGTGGAAGCTAAATAATATCCATTCGTGCACATTCAGGCCTGACGTCTAATATTATAATTGTTTTTATCGACAGACATGCGGAAATTAATTCGTTGTCACATCAACACAGTGGGCTAATCCCAGAAGCTGCTGACAAAAGTGAGATCAGCTCTTTTTGCGACGAATGCCACTCGAACATTTCAGCCGAGTGTACAGAGCAAAATGAAATTTCTCAGAAACCGTACGGCATTAGTTGTAGAGATCGAACTTTCCATCACGATTCACTAAAAATAACGACGAAAAGTAATAATTATGCTAGGGAGGCCCAAGAGACACGCAATGACACGACCTCACAACAAATACGTAATCGCAGGAGCTTGTTAACAATAATGTCTAATAGCTCGAGCGAAAAGTTTTGATATTCGCTGAACCTCCCTCTCTCCCACTGAAACTATCGCCAAATTTCAAATTAACGGTTATTTTAAGGATGTTTATTCATTAAAAATATATATCTAAGCGGATAATGAAGATATTTCGTGCATTGAACACTCTGTGGCTTACGTTCCCTGCATATTATCCATTCCTCTTGCTCTCTGTCAGTTGAAAACGAATAGAAAAGTAAATTTTCTTCAAGTGCTTGCGTGTTTGTCAGATAAATAGTGAGATCAGCTCTTTTTGCGACGAATGCCACTCGAACATTTCAGCCGAGTGTACAGAGCAAAATGAAATTTCACAGAAACCGTACGGCATTAGTTGTAAAGATCGAACTTTCCACCACGATTCACTAAAAATAACGACGAAAAGTAATAATTATGCTAGGGAGGCCCAAGAGACACGCAATGACACGACCTCACAACAAATACGTAATCGCAGGAGCTTGTTAACAATAATGTCTAATAGCTCGAGCGAAAAGTTTTGATATTCGCTGAACCTCCCTCTCTCCCACTGAAACTATCGCCAAATTTCAAATTAACGGTTATTTTAAGGATGTTTATTCATTAAAAATATATATCTAAGCGGATAATGAAGATATTTCGTGCATTGAACACTCTGTGGCTTACGTTCCCTGCATATTATCCATTCCTCTTGCTCTCTGTCAGTTGAAAACGAATAGAAAAGTAAATTTTCTTCAAGTGCTTGCGTATTCGTCAGATAAACATCGTTAAACGTGTAAAAATAATTTTTAAAAATGTGCCCACTCTTCTCAAGCCGCCAATGCAGTCACCGTAGGCTAGAAATTTATTTACAACACGAGTTTATCAAGGAAAATAAATGTTCAGACTATATACCGTAAAATACAAGACCCTCGATTCACAGGGCGCATGCGTTTCCCTGCAGGGGTTGCAACCAACTTCCCTCAAATATTCTCACTGTGATTGTATTCAATACCGACAACTCTTGTGGGGTAGGTCGCAGGAGTGTGCACTTCCAAAATGAATACGCAGTATTACCAAATATTCGAAAGAATTATCAAAGTTTAAAATTCCTCTCTGAATAATCAGTACACGAGTTCGGGTTTTTATTTCGACTCGAGAATAACTTTTTTTGCTTTTCCATCGGATAATATTAGTGGAACTTCGTGAATGCACGGTAAAAAAATTATCAGTGTGTGAATACGTTATCTGTGAGATGTTTTCCATTCTCGAGTGAAAATCGCAATCGTTCGCCGTTTGCTATTTTAATCGGCTCCCCGAATTTGGAGAACTGAATTTGTTATTCACCAGCTGCTGATTTTTCGTTTTCTTCTGTAATTTTTTTAAATATTTTGCTTCTTCTTCATTGCAGTGACGGAGTTAAGAAATGGCAATGATAATAACGGAAAAAATGGGGAGTCAGTGCAGTCTGTGATATTATTGGCGGGGATAGAATAAAATTATTGCACAGAATTTTGCGTGATTATCCACTGGCATACCACGTGAGCGGGGTAATATTGTTTGGCATAACGCGAAACGTGACTATTGATTTTACCGTTTCAGCATCCCTGTAGGACACACACGAGCTCCTGACATCTCATACACACGCTCTCTACGTTAAACTCCCCGTCCCACTCTTGCTTTTTGAATATCTTGCGCAATATGTGCGGTTTTCATTTTATTTAATTTTAGATGAAAAATGAGCCTAAAAGCTCTATAAATCCCACTGTCATCCCAAGATTATTGAAAAAATAATAAAAAAAATTTTTAAATTTTGTCGGTTTTCTGTTTATGAAAATTTGTGGTCATTTGCGTCAGCTTGAAATACATATGGGGGTGATCATGTGTGCTATGGATAATGAATTTCTGTATGATGAATTTAAGGGTGCCCAGTGAATTTGAAAAAAGATTCAAGAAAAATTTTTTCTTTCCCTCCATCATTGGAGGAATGTGCAAACTAGACATCGAGAAAATAAATGCGGAAAATCCTTTCGCGTGACGAACCTCGAGAAAACACGGGATCAAATGGGTACGGCGGGTTGAAATATCTCTCTTATTCACCCCGGTACCCCATTTTTTTTTGTCGCCATCACATTGAACACATCATTCCCCATATCTTCAAATTTTTTCAAATTTTTCTTGAGTTCCTAGGGGGTTGA